GGTAACAATGACAGTAGTAGCCCTGATAGTAATACTAGTAGTCATAAAATGATACTAAGTATTCTTGTCACAACTAACAACTTTTGTTGACAAGAGAGGCAGGAGTTTAGGGTTAATCTGTTGGTGCTGGGGCAGAGCCCGAGAAGGCTGCATGATGTCGCTGGCTAAGTAGATTAAGGCCATTATGAGACGACATCAAGATGTTTTTCCTGGAAGTTGCCATGTACAAGTCACGAACTGCCAAAGTTTCTGACGAAGGTCTCGCATGGCCCATGTCGTCGTCGCATGCCTGGTGCGCGGCGGCAAGGTCCTTTGTGGGAACGTCCCCATGCGTTTTGCAGCTGAGGAGGGGCACGAGTAGGAGGTGAAACGGGACGAGAAGGAGACGGGAAATGAAAGGAGTAGCGACCAGCAGGAGGAGGAGGAGCAACATCAGCAACATGATTGGCAGGAGGAACCTAAAGGAGTACGGGCGATTCTGTCCAACAGGCTAATGCTACTGCCATGGCAATGCTGCATGTTACCAGTGTGATCCACCACTCAACACTGACTGATCCTTCAAGATATCCGTTTCAATCCTGCATCTTGGCATCTCTCCGTGTCTACACGTATTACGTAACTTCCAGAGGTTCTGTTTAAGCTGTTTCATGGTCCTACCTAGGGCTCCTCACCTTGTTCTAATGTTAGTTGTTACTCATCTTCCTGATTCACAAGCTTAGTGAAGCCGTGGTCCAACCGTCAGAGCCAGTGATTCGGTTGATGATATAAATCCTGCATTACCCATAATAAGGGATATACCATAATTCCCATAGTCCAGGGTCCTTGAGGTAATGCAGGATTTATATCACCACCCCTAAACCCTAAAACCCTAAAGCCCTATAGATCCCTGAAAGGAGCCCCTTATAGGTACCCTTATCGATCCCCTTAAAGGAACCCTAGGGATTTATATCATCAACCGTTGAGTGCAGGTGATCACACCAGGCCTGGCCACATGCAGCGAGGGATCCCCCCGCTTGCGGCCACATGTGGTCGGGATCCCGGTTAACTCCCGGGCTTTCTGTAGAACTTTTTTAAGGATTCAGGGATAGAGCGGTTTAAGGATTCAGGGACAGAGCGGTTTAAGGATTCAGGGATAGAGCAGTTTCAGGATTCAGGCAGGGATAGAGCGGTTTAAGGATTCAGGGATAGAGCGGATTAAGGATTCAGGGATAGAACGGATTAAGGATTCAGGGACAGAGCGGATTAAGGATTCAGGGACAGAGCGGATTAAGGATTCAGGGATAGAGCGGATTAAGGATTCAGGGATAGAGCGGTTTAAGGATTCAGGGATAGAGCGGTTTAAGGATTCAGGGATAGAGCGGTTTCAGGATTCAGGGATAGAACGGATTAAGGATTCAGGGACAGAGCGGGGATTCAGGGACAGAGCGGATTAAGGATTCAGGGATAGAGCGGATTAAGGATTCAGGGATAGAGCGGTTTAAGGATTCAGGGATAGAGCGGTTTAAGGATTCAGGGATAGAGCGGTTTCAGGATTCAGGGATAGAGCGGTTTCAGGATTCAGGGATAGAACGGATTAAGGATTCAGGGATAGAGCGGTTTAAGGATTCAGGGATAGAGCGGTTTAAGGATTCAGGGATAGAGCGGTTTCAGGATTCAGGGATAGAGCGGTTTCAGGATTCAGGGATAGAACGGATTAAGGATTCAGGGATAGAGCGGTTTCAGGATTCAGGGATAGAGCGGATTAAGGATTCAGGGATAGAGCGGTTTAAGGATTCAGGGATAGAGCGGTTTAAGGATTCAGGGATAGAGCGGTTTAAGGATTCAGGGATAGAGCGGTTTCAGGATTCAGGGATAGAGCGGTTTAAGGATTCAGGGATAGAGCGGTTTAAGGATTCAGGGATAGAACGGATTAAGGATTCAGGGATAGAGCGGTTTAAGGATTCAGGGATAGAGCGGTTTAAGGATTCAGGGATAGAGCGGTTTCAGGATTCAGGGATAGAGCGGTTTCAGGATTCAGGGATAGAACGGATTAAGGATTCAGGGATAGAGCGGTTTCAGGATTCAGGGATAGAGCGGATTAAGGATTCAGGGATAGAGCGGTTTAAGGATTCAGGGATAGAGCGGTTTAAGGATTCAGGGATAGAGCGGTTTAAGGATTCAGGGATAGAGCGGATTAAGGATTCAGGGATAGAGCGGTTTAAGGATTCAGGGATAGAGCGGTTTAAGGATTCAGGGATAGAGCGGTTTAAGGATTCAGGGATAGAGCGGTTTAAGGATTCAGGGATAGAGCGGTTTAAGGATTCAGGGATAGAGCGGTTTAAGGATTCAGGGATAGAGCGGAGGATTCAGGGATAGAGCGGATTAAGGATTCAGGGATAGAGCGGTTTAAGGATTCAGGGATAGAGCGGTTTAAGGATTCAGGGATAGAGCGGTTTAAGGATTCAGGGATAGAGCGGTTTAAGGATTCAGGGATAGAGCGGTTTCAGGATTCAGGGATAGAGCGGTTTCAGGATTCAGGGATAGAGTGGTTTAAGGATTCAGGGACAGAGCGGTTTCAGGATTCAGGGATGAGAACAGTTAGAAAAGCTTGGAAACCTGACAGGGTAGTCTGAAATCCAGTCCAGAAGCCTGGCAGCTTGGAGCGCTTTAAGTTCGTAGCAATGGAAATCCTGATCCGTCACTTAGGGTTAAGGGTTGAGGAACCCTCAGTAGTACTTGAATAATATTCATAATATAGATATAGTAGGACCTTATTAGTAGCCCTATTATAGACTCTTACTGTATGCGGGTCGTACCTAACCTAAACCCCAACTCCTAAACTCTAAACCCTACACTCTAAGCCGTGGGACCGGTGACGGAGCAGAGAGCCAAAAAGCCGTAGTTCAGCAAAAAGCAATCCCTAAGGCCCAAACCCTAAACACAAATCCCTGAGGCCCTAAACCCTAATGTCTAAGCCCCTAAACCCTAACCCCTACGGCTCTAAAGCCTCAACCCCAAGGCCCCAAATCCGCAACCCGAGACGCTCCTAGGCTCGACTCCTCAACGGTCGCCAGCCTGCATCGCTGCCCGGAGCTGAGCTCCTCCCCTCCCTGGGTTTTTGGCGCTCTTAGGAAATGTATTCCCTGAGAAGGAACTCCACTGGACTATGAGAAGTACCATCTTCAGTACAAAAAAGCTCCAAGAAAATTAGCAGAAGTGTATTTTCATTCTGGTACCAGGCGGCGCTTCAGTTGATGTCTCTTCGCCAGGGCTCGGTTTTGGAAGGCCAAGGATACAGAAGCCCAAGGGATACTTCGGCGAAGTTTCTGGGCTTTGCGGCCAAATTTTAGGGCTTGTGGGTCGATTTTGGTTCGGGTATGAATATTAAACGAATCTTCGCAGTAGTGTACGACCATTGCTATATGGATAGAAATAGAAATACCAGATATTTGGGGATGTTGTTAGAGAAAGGAGCCCCAAACCCTAAACCCCCAAACTGTAAGTTCTAGATTGGCGAGTGGCTTGGGTGTTCTGGGCGGCTCGCTTTCCCCCCCCAGTCCAGGCATCAGCCGGCCTTCCTGCAGTATCTTTGTACACCGCAAGACCACTGCAATGGAGGGCCTTTGTACTCCCGTACGGGCTTAGGGTCTATTAGAGGGGCCAATTACCAATACTATTCCGGGGGTTCCTTATTATGTCTCAAGATGCGTCCTTGCATCTTCCGTGGCAACGCATCTTTCTCCCAGAAAGCGTGTCTTTATTTTCAGTTGTTGCAGGGTCATGCAGAGTCGTTATCAAGCAGCTTCACAGCGAGCTAAGACTCCAAAATCCATGCCGCGAGGACGCAGCATGCAGAAATTGCGGCTCTGAATAGGCCTGGACTTCTGGTGAGGGGTGCTTGGGTCTCAAGGAAGGTCACTCATAAGTTAGTATGGGAGGACGAAATGCGATTTCCTCTCTCTCCCTCTGCACATGTATATAGGTGTATATATATATATATGTATATACATATATGTATACGTATCCCTCTTATGGTATCTTTGTTTGGTTCAGGGCTTCGTCCGCACAAAGCGCCCAAACTATGGAGGTCTGAATACTGAGCTACAACATCGCTGAGCACAGGCCCCTGAATCACCTTCTTAAATCCCGAGAAAACCTTGAAAACAGCTTCCAAATCCTGCAGAACCTAAACCCTAAGCCCCATTCTTCTTGCTGAAGGCCCCTAGAAATCTCGATGCCAGGTTGCCAAAAGGCACCACCCGGCGCCAGCTACGGAAGATGACTCTCGTGGCCAGGGCCCAGGGGAAGTAGTACGGTGCCTTCAGATGTCAGATGTGGAACAGGCTTTCTACAGGTTCTTACAGGTTTACGAGGGCTTCGTGAGGGCTTTGTTCGGTTCTTATGGGGTGGTTAGGTTTTTTTATAGCTTTTTGACTATGAGGGTTTTGCTCGGGTTTTAGAGTTTACCCAGACCTTCATGATAAGAGAATAGGGGTTTGGGGATGCGTGTCGTAGTACAATGTAGGGACGAAAGTGCGTACTGTTCGGAAGTTCTTGGTACCTGCATATGAGGCATTAGGGTCTCGGGTTGCAAGCCATGGATTTTTCGGCGTTCCAGCTCTTGCGTTTGGGGTTTGCAGTTGCGGGTTCTAGGACTTGGGGGGGTTGGTGTTTGTTTATGTAGGTGTCTGGGTTTTGGAGGCTATTTCTTGTTGGATTTAGGGTCTCGGGTTTAGGGGCTCAGGGTTCAAGGTTTAAGTTTAGGGGCTCAGGGTTCGGGTTTTGCGTCTTGGATGTATTGATTGTTTTATAGTTTGGATTTCTCGGTGTTTGTTTAGGAGTTATGGGTTTTGGGTCTTGGGTTTATGGTGTACATAGGCATAGGATCTAGTCCAAGGTTCGCGGTTGCGTTTCAGGTTCTGTCGATTAGGACATAGAGGCTATCGCAGTCTTCAGTTTGGCCAGTGCAGGGTGATGAGTAGCGCGGAAGAACAGGCAGAGGTTCTGGTGCTCGAAGCCCAATGCGGCTGTGCCAAGATGCAAAGTATTTCAGGTGGTCGCCTGTGGAAAGAGCTGGTGCTGAGGTCATCCGCCCCAAGTACAACCAGAACCTCGGCCACACGAGGTGTGTGGCCAAAGATCCATGTGGGACATCTTGGGGTGGTCTTAAGAGGGTCCGATACAGAGGAGGATAGAGGGATGGTGCCTGGTGGTCAATCCGCAACATAGAGCGCCACTCTAATCGTGTTGAAAGTTGTCTCTGTCTTGCCTCTAGAGCTTGTAAACCCCAAACATCCAGCAGATGTTTGAAGGAAACATGGCAGTGGTTTCTTGCCTAGTCCACTCCGTCTCGCAGGCTGCCGGAGATTGCTGGAGTAGGTAAAATTTAGCATCTGGCCATCTGGTTCTCCGATTGCAACGGTTCTATGGAGTGTATTTGACATGTCTTGGCCCGGGGTGTCGTAGAACATGGCATGCCAAACCCTGCCAGAGGGTCGGGGAGACTTGAGGAATCAAGCACCCTCATCCTCAAGAAATTGCAGAGGAGAAGCCTCCACCAAACCCGGCAGCCAAAGACAAAAGCCTTCATGATATGTATTGCGTCTGAAGCTTCAATCCACGCAGCACCCTCTGCTGTCCTCATGCTTCTCAGCTTTGGCATTGCAGGATGCTCTGTGCGCAGCCCTGTGGTCGTCCCAGTGTGAGCAAGTTGCCTGGGGTTACGGTTCAAAGTGTACGGCGCAGAACCCAGGACCACCAAGCAGCAACTACTCGGCATGTGACACCAGCCGTCTGCGCATGTCGGGGTAGTAAAACCGGGATCTGGCGTGTACATACCATAGGGCCTAAATATTTATCAATAATATTCTGGGAATTTTTGAGTATATTTATAGCAAAATCTCCCCAAACTGTTGAAAGTTGAAATCATCTAGGCCAATATGTTCTGGGTGTATGCAAGCAGCAAACAGCAGCGATGCGCAAGGCACATGACTCACAAAGCAATGAGCGCATATTCAACAGCAGGAGCGCCCCCCAACCGTTCTGATATTGACAACGGCGGCTGGTCAACGATAGTACGGACCAGTTGCAGCAGACCTAGATATAATATACGTAAACTTATCAAGATGGACAATGCAAGAATACTGGGCGCAGAAACCCTGTCAGCCACGGCAGTAGTCATGACTAGGAGTGATGGCAATGTCTAGAAGTAAGGTTGAACAATAACGATGTTGTAGATGGCTGGAGACATGGACGAAATCAGCCACCATGGCCGAATCGCCACTGTGTGCTTTGGTTTAATGCTCGCAAGAGAAACCAGGGGCCTCCTGGTAAATTAGAAGGCTTGAAGCTATACTGACTTGTTTCCAAGCTAAGGCTAAGAGTTTGTGCATAGAAGCCTACAGCCACAGCCTTCTCCGATCTCCAAAGGCCGGGAGTGCGCACAGATCATCTGTGCACTTGGCATCAAGTCCGTGGTGTACTCTTCCGAGGACGCCCGGTATTTTGTTTGGGGAGATTACACTATAATTGTAATAAGGAACCCCCCAAATAATATTGGTAATTATTTCGGCCCCTATAATAATTAGCAAACCCAGGCTGCATTGTGGAGGCTCACTTCCGGAACTCAGCTCGGCAGCGTGGAGCCTGCGTTCGAGAAGCCGAGCCTGGTTTCCCGATATGTGGCTTCGACCACGCCAGAGATTAATATAGGGGCCTTAATAATTGGAGTAGGGTTTTGGGGCCCATATACTATAGATATAATCAGGAACCCCAAAAATTAGTATTGGTAATTATATAGGCCACTATAGTAGCTCGACACCTTGCAGTTTGTAAGTCTGTGTCTGAGGAGGCTTTGGGGTGTCGGGTGCTGACATACCGGGGCATGAACCTGGCTTGCTATGTGGTGGGTTGCTTAAGCGCGATGTTGGTGATTGAATGAGCTCCCATATTCATACCCTGCTGCCGCTGTGTACTCGTACGTTCAGACAGATCTTGCTCCAAGATGCTTCTATCCCCTCCTCAACCCTAAACCCTAAACCCTGGCTACGGCTCAAGCTGTTGGCCCGAGCAGGTATCTTTCCTTCCTCCAGGTCCCTTCGCCACTCCAGGATTCGGCTGCTCCGTGTCTTCGTGAACGCTGGCGGCCAGGACTTGCTGATCTTCTACCTCTTTGTGTAATCTTTGGTGGCAGGCGAGGGGGTGATCTGGCGGCCAGTTCTTGCTGATCTCTTACCTCTTTGTGTGACCTTCGGTGGCAGGCGAGGGGGTGATCTTGCGGCCAGTGCTTCATCTTTGCGTACATCCCTGTGATTTCGGCCACTCCCTTTCCTTTGTGAACGACCTCTGGCTGCTGATGATGGAGATGCAGGTGGAACATGACGGCCGACCTGAGCGTGGAAGTCCGACTGAGATTGCCGAGTCTGAGGATGAATTCAAGCCCTCTGGTGCCATGGACCTAGATGATGTGAAGCAGGAAAAACGCAAACGAGAAACACGCATCGACCGGGGTGATCGGGTTCGTGATGGTGCTGCTGTTCCTGTCGGCGACAGTCAAGAGGAGGACGAGGATCTTGACAGCCCTAGCAAACGCCCACAACATGGAGATGCACCGCTCAGTGGACAAGAGATTCGTGCACTCCTTCTTGGCCATGTCAGTGAAATGAAAGAAGCATGGAGATCCTTTCAGGGCCGTCTGGACCGGGTCGAAAGTGAGCAACTCCAACAAAGCCATGAGATGATTCACATGAGGACCCGCACTGCCGCGCTTGAGAAAACGAACACTGGACTTCAGAAGGCCCAGGACCTGACTGCAAGGAACCTTGATTCGCTTTCTGAGGATGTGAAGAAGATGAAGGTTCAGATTGAAGATCTTCAAGCTCGGCCCCCTGCACCTGCTCCAGCTGATGCTCGCCCGGTCGGAGCTCCATGTGACCCTTGGGCCGAATACACCAGACGACGTGAACAGGGTGACATCTTGGACGGCAAAGCACCCTCCTCATCAGTCAAAGCCGCTACCTCCTCGGCAAATGATCGTCCTGGTGAAGCTCTGAGTGAAGACGAAAAACGTACTCTGGTCTTTGGTGGCTGGGCTCGCGATACCAAGCGAAGCATCATTGAAGCTGAAAGTGCGGCATTCCTTGGTACTGAGGGTATGAAAGCACTGACTGATGTGCAAAAGCTCATGATCTATGGCCCTCGACGCTCGGTTGGGATGATGAAGTTCACTGAACGTGAGGGGGAGACTTTTCGAGATGTAAAAAATCGAATGTGGGAAGTCATCAAGATTGTTGCGAACAGCAAGGTTGAACTTGCGAGTACCAAGGACCTGGGTGAGCCTAAAACGATGTGGGCGAGTTTCGTGAAGACTAAGGCAGCCAGGGCTAAGAGCACTTTGATTTCCATGACCCGACGAGTCGCTTGTGATCTTGCGATGGGAGCAAAGAATGCTGAAGGGGGCATCAAGTTCATCCAGCATACCCTGCCTTCGGCCTTTGATTGTGATTGGAACATGGGCACCATCTGGTGCGGTGATCATAAGCTTGCGAGTGCGACCCATCGTGCCCCACGTGACAACGAGACCATCTTGATGCCGGGAGGCTGGGTCGACCTTGACGCCATCTCTGCCATAACTGGGTGCACTTGTACAGAGGCCAAATCGGCCTTTGAACGCGAGCTATGAACACCTTCCGGGGAGAGTTTCACTCCGAATTCGCCTCCCGAGCAGGCTACTGGATCTTGCCTTAAGGGACGATCTTCTACTTGCTCTTCTTCTTGTGGGGTGACTTCCGCTTCGTCTGCAAGGCATCGTTGGGGGAGAATCTCACTGTGGAACCTGGCCGGTCAGTCAGTGAAAATGCTTGACTTAGCGGCGGAGGATGCGGACTGCATCATGGTTCAAGAAATTGCTCGTGGCAAAGCTGGGTGGGACGTTGTCGATACGGATAGTTTTCACTGGATCACACATCGACACGCTGATCACTGGCGTGGGGTTGGCATCGGCTTCTCCTGTGACAAGTTTGACTGCATTGTCCACAAGGTTGCTTCTTCTCGTGGCATCTGGGTCCTGGCTCGCCTTCACGGAATTGGTAGGGTTGTCTTGGGAAGCATGCACGCTCTGACTGGGGTGACCAACGCCCGTTATCAAGCTGCAGCACATGAATTCTTTGCGAAGCTACCTGCTCGTTGGAGACAATACCCTCTCCTGTGCGGGGTTGATGCCAATGAAACCCCGTGTTGGAATCTCTCGGATGACTTTCCGGGGCACCTTGAGATTGGCCATTGCTCTGAAAACCTCAACGTGTTGCTCAATGAAGCGGTCAAAGTGTGATGTCGTGTCCTCCCTCCCGCTCCTTGGCAGTGTTCGACGCCAACACATTATCCTAGGGATGAATCTCGTGAAGGTCGCCAGATTGATATCCTTCTTGTCAGGGGAGTGGGGTGTGATTCCATTACGATCGAACCGGATCGCAGACTTACGATCAACACTGACCATGCCTATGTCTTTTCGGAACTTTTTGTCAGAGGACCTTGCCCTGCTCGCCGTTGGGGGAATGACTCTAGAGCCAGATGGGTGTGTGCGGAACTCCCTGCGATCACCATTGTCGACGAAGACGACGTTGTGCAATTGGGCAAGCAGTGCACCAAGCCCAGGTCTTCTCTGGCTTTCCGCGACACAGATGAGACCAAGAATGCAATCATCAAGGCTCAACGAACTAGAGACAAGGCCGATTGGAAGCATGTGCACCAACTTCGTCGTTTTGCTCGCAAAGCTTGGCAAGAACAACGTCTCAGTCGTATCCTTGCTGGTGGCTGGGATGAATTCCGTTCTCTACAAAACGAAAAGAAACGGCAGAAAGGATGGTGGGGTGAACTTCTCCAGGACCGCTCATCTTCGGATCTGACCCGTGAAGTCCAGGCCCACTTGGAATCCAAGATGGTGTGTGGAAATATGAACACTTGGGACACTGAGCTTGATGAGTTGATTGCTGCTGTTAGGGCTGACCACGCATTTCTTCCCTTTGACCTGTTTGATGTCAGAACGGAACTGCAGTCAATGCGATGTCGCAGCGCGGTTGGTCCGGACGGCATCGGCGTTCACCTCCTTCGGGAAATCGCCAGTGATGCACACCTGGGTGAACAATTCCTGGAGCTCATTAATCACATAGTGAGAACTCAGGAGACGCCTGCCAATTGGAATGTTAGCTTCCTTGCCCTGTTGGCAAAGTGCCCATCTCCTCAACGTCCGAAAGATCTCCGACCCATCGCTGTCAGTTCGGCCTTCAACAAGCTGGTCAATCGATTGGTCTGCTCGCGGACTTTCCCCAAGCTCAGGCGTGGTTCGAAAATCAGTGCATGTGGAAGGGGACGGCAAGCCGCGGATTTGATCGGGGGTGTTTCCCGTATTCGTGATGTCTTCCATGAATGGCGAGTCCCGGGACTTCTCTGCAAGCTAGATGTGGCAGGAGCCTTTGATCGTGTTGATCGCCGCAAAGTTGCTGCTCTCCTTCTGGATCGTCTGAAGAATGAAGGTGTGCCCGCTGAACTGCGCTATCTTCTTGGCCAACTCCGGAGTCATGAACTGAGAGGGAATGTTCCTGGGGGTGAGGTCATTTCTTTCCGTCCCAATCAGGGAATCAAACAAGGTGCTCCTGAGAGCGCCGAGATCTTTGGACTTCTTGTTGATTCTCTCCTCTCTGAGTTGATTGAATGCCGCGCCTGGAAGACAATGGGTGGGGTTGCAGCTGACTTTGATGTTGACCTTCTCTTCTATCAGGATGATGTCTTCTTGGTTGAGAGTGACCTGGGACGTCTTGTGCGTCGGATCCGCACTGTTGATCGTTGCCTGCATAAGGCTGGACTTTGTCTTGCTACGGACAAAACCAAGATCATCTGCACGTCTGATTATCATGGACCCAGACAAGCTCGGGTTGCTGGAGATCTCTTCTCCGTTGCTGAGACCCTCGAGTCTGTCAAGGTACTTGGGGTGAACTTCAACTTTCATGAGTCCTCCTCTCAACAGGCACAAGAACTACTAGGCCGTGCACGAGCGGCAGCAGCCTGGCACCAGGATATCCTAGGGGCTCATGGACCATGGGATAAAAAAGTTGACATCATCCGCTGCTTGATCGAGTCCACGTGGAGTTGGACTGCTGGTGCTGTACACTGGCACGCCTCTGACCTACACGCTGCCAATTCGCTCCAACTCCAGCTCCTTCGTCGTGCCTTTGGACTCAAGAGACTACGCGGTGAAGATTGGGTCACCTGGAATCAGAGAACGCTCCGATTCTGCCGTGTTTGGATGTGCGCAAATAATGTTTCCAGGTGGAGTACGAAAATCTTGTCTCTACAGCATAATCTTCATGGCCACTGGGCTCGGAGAAGTGAATATTGTAGAACGACTGCCCGCCACTCGCCGTGCTTGCCGATGCGAACCATACTTTGGCGATGCACGGACTGGTGGCGTCACCAACAGGCTCTCAGTGATTCTGTCGGTTTCCGGCACCCTTGTCGGTTCTATGCGTCCAACCCCGAGCGTCAAGTTGCTGATGCTCATGGACCTCGCTGGTTCGATCTTGCTCAGGACAGAATTTCCTGGTGTTCGGCCAGGAACAGCTACCTTGCCATGTGGGATGTCCGTTGGGCTAGTGGACGTCAACTCAGCTTGCGCTTCTGAAAAGTTTGGGAGCATCGTTTGTGCCTGTGAAGTTTTCCGCGAACTGATTTCACAAACATGCTCTGAGCTTGCTCTTTTCCCTTCTTGAACATCCTCGAGAATTGACCTTTCGAACATCGTGAAGGTCTTCAGTTGCTTTTCTTGTACGCACGCATGGGATCCCTGCTCTAAATGTGCTGGTTTGAATGTGATGTACCACTCTCTGTGACTATGGCATAGCGCTGGCCCTGAGGCTCTTCTCGTGTTGTCTTGGCTCCAGTTGCAGGCTCGCCCGAAAGCTCCCGCACCCTGCCTACGTCTCCACAATGTCGGTGATCGCCCTCGCTCGGCTGGTCCTTCATCGTTGGCTTCTTGTACATGGCACTGTTTGGGATGAACAACACGATGGTGCTGAAGGTAGCTCTTCCAGCAGCTCTTCGCATGTGGCCCCGCTTCCCGCTGTCCGCCCTTCGTCGTTCTCCTACGAGCAGTATGTGACACACATGGCCCTGGCCTGGGATGAAGATGTTTCTCTTGGCCTTCAACTACATGACTACGCGCAGATGAACACGGAGGAGGAGGACATTCTTGGTACGGCTCCCCTGCCTGCTGACCTCCCAGTGCCATTTGTCGTTGACGCTTGTGTTCCTTCTTCTGCTATGGATGTTGCTGCTCCTGGAACCCTGGCTGCTCTACCTGGTCCCGCTGTTTCTCCTGCTGCTTTGGATCCTCTTGCTGTCGCTCTACATGATGGACGTCGTCTACGTGGACTTGCTGCATGCTCTGCCCCTGTGTCCCTGCAGGCAGCCACTCCTGGACGTGATCCTCAGAGCTTACTGATCCCTAGCTCTCAATATGGGGGTGATGCTACACAACCTGTTGTGGACCACACTGGGGTGACCTGTGGTACCTCCAGCTTGTCTTCCTCGTGGGCGTCTTCGAGTACATCCCAGAGCTCCTCGTCGTCTTTCTCTCGTTCGACGACTTCCTCTTCTATGTGGGCAACTGGAAGTACGTCGGTGAGTTCCTCTCTGACTCCGCCTGGACCTCCTTCACCTCTTTGTCCCTCTGATGAGGCCCCCTGCGCGAACCTGGACACTGCGACTGGACTTTGGCCAGCCAGTGAGTCTGGTGATCCGTGGGGCACAACCTGGCACTCGGATCCACCTGCGGTGGCCAATGATCCGGACTGCTCCCCGCAGAGCAGATCTTCGTCATCTTCCGGATCCTTGAATAATGTTGGAGTGACTTGTCGCTTCAATGTTCGCCGTCCAGGTCGGGACAGATGGCACCACCCGGACGGGTCTATTCGCAACCGCCGCCAGGAACGGCTACAGCAGGAGTCCCTTCAACCCATCGATGAAAACCAGATGGCCTTCACCATTGAGGCTTCTGAACGTCGCAGTGATGGACATGTGGTTGTTGGGAAAACCTTTTATGGAGACCACTTCGAAGTTTGGGCTAGTGGTCTTGGAGCTGCACACGAAGAGTCTACATCGGCGGGTAGCACTGGTGGCAGTGAGCCATCTGACACAGGAGGCACTTCTGAGATGGACGGGACACCAGTTGCACCCTCGTCCATGCCTCCGGATGATGCCGTGAGTGACGACCCGGTTTCATCCTCGGAGTCCAGTGACAACCCTCCTGTGGTGGGCTTTTGGAGACATGGTGTCTTCGTGCCGCGCGCCCGCTCTGCTCAAGAACTACGTGATCATCAAGGTGGCGGGGGAATGCAAAGATGGCTGCGGAAGCAACGCAGAATGCACGCCTATTTCGCAGGCCAATGGAAACCTGCATGGTTGGAAAAATATATCCGGGACAAGCAGGCGAGAGAAAGTACGGCAGCTACAACTGCTCAACAGGATGAGATGCATGGCTTGGACTCCGAACCTTCCGAGAATGTCCCGCCTTTGGCGTCTACCTCATCCACTGGAGGCACTTCGCAAACTAATGAGTGGGCCTGGACAGGTTGGATTGAAAGGCATGATGAAGACCAGGCGACTGACTCCAATTGGTATGGCTGGTGGGACTCCGCCGCAAACGAGGAGCCCACACACGATGCTTCGGAAGTGTGGGAGTCCCAGCCGGCCTCTGGCTCCTCTACCTCCTTGCCCTCCGGCTCAACATCGTCATCTTCGACCTGGAGCTCTTCTACTTGGAACTGGACTACCTGGACAACGACCTCTGGCACGTGGCCATCTTTTGCCTCTAATGCTGCTCCTCTGTCGCCTTCCACACGGAGCACGTCGTTATCCTCGACCTGGAACTCTTCTACCTGGACTTCGACTACCTGGACATCGACTTCAGGAGCGAGGCCTTCTTCTTCCTCTAGTCTTGCTCCCTTGCCCTCTTCAACATGGAGCACTTCTGTTGAGACCTGGTCGACTTGGATACCGACTTCGAGCACGTGGGCTCCGTACTTTTTGGGAACTGCTGCCATGAGCTCCTGCACCACTACAGGGGTGACGAGTGTTTTCTTGGGGTCGACTTCGCAGGAACCATACTTTGGATCTGACCTGCTGTGGAGCACCTCAACTACCTCCTCTTCTACCTGGGTGTCGTTCCCTCCCAACTTTGGTCTTTTTCCGGAAGTACGTCCCGCCTCGTCGCCGGCGTTTGAGGGCATGACGGTCACGATTGGTGATGGGGAGCCCATGCCTGTTGGTTCCGCACCTATACCACTGGAGACTGTGGATGAGCCGTCTGACGCTTCTGAACCTGATGAGGAGGAGGCCCACTCTCTTATGCAGCTCACCAACTCTGAGCGACGCTCCTTGCAAGAACGAGGTGTACCCCAGGCGATGATTACCCGCATGGAAAACCTCCTGAATGCACTGGGGCGAATGCAAGACGATGGCAATGGACCTGAGGGCAGATGGGCGATGAGTTGCATGCATACTCGCCTGCTGGATGGCATCGACGCCCTGGAAGCTTTACACAATGTCCTGGCTCGTCGCTTCGTGCCCCGTGGCTTCCTCCCGGTACGCCGCATCCCCCAGCGGGAGACAGACAGATGGCGCTTGTTTAACTGGGCGCGAAACTACATGGACCTTTTTCTCACTACTTTAGAGGCCAGTCTGTCCCCGAGGTTGCAACCACAGGACACGCAAATCTCTCCCATGGCCCCGGCTGACTCTGCCAGCTATCTTAGCTTGCATAGTGAAGGAGCCGAGTCCAGTCATCCACCTCATGATCGGTCGTCCACAACACAGGCGAGCTCTAGCAGTGGTAGCCGTCGTCGTGTTCCCGGTGCTCGCCGTCGTGTTCCTGGTGTTCGCCGTCGAGCTGTTCGTCGCCGTGTTCCTACCTCTGAGAGCCACAGTGGTACTTCAGTATGGGCACCGACCATGGACAGTGAATGGGCACTTGACTCCACAGGAGAACTGATTTGGGTTCCGCCGGCTTCGCCCTCTTCTGTCCCGCGCGGCCCACCTCCCCCAGACCCAATGCACTTTGCCACCGATGAACTCCAGGGCATTTGGAGGGAGAATCAGTCCTATGGGGATGACAATGACACCACTGGACCAGCAGCCTCCTCGACTATGGCATCTGGGGTGACTTCAACGACGACTACCACATTGTTGATTGGTGACATCCCTTTAATTTGCCTGGACTGGCTCAATTCGACCTCTACCACCACTGATGGCTTCTTCCCTGTCCTGGCTATCACTTCGACTACCACGACGAGCACCTCTTCCTCTTTGGGATTGGTCTGGCCTTCGGATGTTGTTCGCGATACCGTAAATCGGAATCTGGTACACGGTGGCCAGGTGGACACGGTGGAACTTGTGCTGCGCCTCCTTGCCCAAGCTCGACTTCGCCAACATCAGCAAAGATTACTGCTGGATGCCATTGAAGAAGCAATGCACTGGGTCACTGTTCCTTTTGGTGCTGTTCCCCTAAACATCGGCATCTTTGAGGCTGAAGTCACCGCAGCTGCTTTGAGTGAGGCAAGGTTTGGTTCTGGCCCCTCTACTAGCACGACCTTCCCATGGGTGAACTCGCCGTCTGTGAGCCTACATCCAGGTTTTCCCCCGTCAGTGAGTGAGATTGAGAATGCGCTCCCAGGTTTTGCGGCTGCTACTTTGGCTGGTCTTCGGCGACGTGCTTGGCGACGACATGTTCGATCGGTGTATCAGCGTGAGGAAGGTCGCGATCCTGTGGGTGCCTGGCCTGATGAACATGATGAGCGTCTGTACCTAGTCCAGCAGCGTGAAGACGTACCAGTTTCGAATTGGCCGTCCAGTGAGGAACGCCCTGCTCGTACTGCCGTTGGTACTAGCGCTCCGGGCCCGGGCTTTTCGGTCCTAAGTGGTCGACGACGTCATCGTGTACCTCGCCCTCCTCCTCGGTTCCTACCTCCAGGGATGTCTTTGGTGGAAGCTTTGGCTATGGGAAATGAATCACGAGGACCTGTGCGACATCCTGCTCGCCGAGGACCTGCTGTACGCCGTCGTCGACCTGCTGCCCGTCGTCGACTTCCTGCACGCCGTCGTCGACATGGTCCTCGTGAACGAAGTCGCAGCCGTGATGCCCCTCCACCTGGAAATGGACATGACTCCGTTGACAGTGAAGATGCCTCTCGAGATGACGTTAGTGAAGCTTTGCGACCTGGTGCATCTGTCTCGTCCCTTGCTGCACGTGATGTCTGGGTCCGTAATGCTCGTCGTCGTGCTGCCTCTTCCTCCTCGTCGCTACGTCGAGAACCTGAGCCCTGAGGACATCCTGAAATGAGCCTTGAGGACAAACTGAAATGAGCCTTGTGGACAACCACAACTGAGCAGCCGTGTGTAGTACAAGATGCTTTGTCTATGTTCTCTGTTGTCATCAATGGAGACTCTGCCTTAGTGTAAGCCTATCGGCAGGCTACAGACCTGCTCTGCGTGCGGAGCGGAGAAAGAGCCACTACACTTTAAAAAAAAAAAAACCCTACGCCCTAAACCCTAAACCCTCAGCCCTAAACCCTAAACCCTCCACCCTTTGGCTCGAAGAGCCGGCACCCACAAGGACGCGCTCTACCGCTGCGACGCTGAGGCCCTGCTGTCGGCGGCGCAGCCGTCCTCTGGTGCCCTCCAGACTTACCTTTGGTTAGTAGGGAATGGAGGAACGGGGTATAATTATAACTACTATTACTACCATTCTTCCATTCCCTACTAACCAGAGGTAAGCAGAAGGGTTTTTGGGAGTTTTCGGGGTGTTTTGTGCAGGCCTGCAGTTCTCTTGATCCGTGCTTCGAAGCCCGAATACAGGGACCTCAATGGCCTTAATAATTAACTATACCATTTTGGGGGGGTCCTACTATGATTAACGTATCATATACCCCAAAGCCCTATTCTATTAAGGCCCCTCCTCAAATCTGTTCTTGATGTTGGACCTGCAGCAGCATCCTGTGACGAGGTACTGTTTTCATGAGGCGTGAGGAGCCGACGTCGGACTAACATAGGGGCCTTAATTACTGTACTACTTAGAACAGGGTTTTCAGGTATATGATACTAAGTTACTACACATATAATAAGGCAGCGCCCCAATGTTCGGTCAGATTGCGGGTCCTTTGGTCCTTTGTCTACGTGCGGGCGCAACCCCCGTTTCGCGCTAAGGAGACTTAGTTTTCGCACATGTTTGTAGTGTCAACTTGTCGAGAGATTTTCAGGACTGTGGGGGTTTCGAGCAGAGGTTTCATCCGCACGCCCAATGAGGTACAGCTTGTAGAGGCAGTGCTTACCCCTAGCTTGTGCACAGTTTGCGACCCGTTCGTGCCGACCGGAGTGGAAAACAGGATCGGAGTGAGGTGCTCCTAATCCAGAACACTGTACGTGTTTAAACCCCCAGCCCTGAAGTGGCTTGTAAAAGCCAAAACCCTAAACCCCAAGCCCCAACCCTAAAACCCTAAGCCCCAAAACACCGAAATCCTAACACTCCTTACCAGAAGGACCCGCACCTGCGAACCCGTTGGTGTAGTACTAATTTCAAAAATACAAGGAAAGAGAGAGAGAGAGAGAGAGAGAGAGAGACAGACATGTGCGTCTGTGTATATAAATAAATAAATAAAAATATGTGTATATATATATATATATATATATCATATCATATCATATCATATCATATCATATCATATCATATCATATCATATACATGTAACACCCTAAACCCTAAACCCTAAACCCTAAACTTATATATATATATATATATATATATATATATGTATTTGTATCTATATATATATATATACACACACAAATGTGTTGAATTTGCACTCAAGCTCCCAATCCGAGCCCAAACGCCTTGAGCGAGACTCAGCAGGCCGCTGGCAGATGACGACTCTTCGCATTCTCATTGCTGCTTTTGATGAATATTGCTAGTATTGTGCTTCAGAGTATGCGTATGATCATGATCAGTAGTTTTTTTGCTGTTTCTAGTTTACTCTTACTCTGGCTCTTTCTCTTGCTCCACTCTTACTCGTACTCTTCTTGTCATACGCGTGATGGCTCCATGGCGCTCCCATCTTGCAGAATTTTTTCTCGCAGGCCTTCAAGCCCCTTGCCAGTGGGCAGTGCCTCGGAACCGAGCCAGGGTAGTTCCCCTAAACCCTGAACCGTAAACCCCTTGAAGGAATCTGCGACCTTGCATTGCAAGGAGCTCCCGAGGTTACCTGAAGGGATATCTCTACCTTCTGCTAGCATTGCGCTTCTCAGAATGAAGCTCATTTAATGCAAAGGTCTGTTCCATATGTAAACACTCTATAGCATGCCGAAAGCCATATTCTAGTGATTTAGGACCCATTAGTTGCCTTATGCCCGAGGTGGGACCATCCCAAACGTCCACGCAGCACCATTTACAGCCTCTTCAGAGAGGGGGGGGACTGTTGGTGGAGCGGCTGGGCTCCACCCACAGAGGCTTCGGGATGACCAGTATGAGTGATGAGTGCCGCCGGCGAGCTTTCATGATTTTGGAGTCTTAACATTCCCGCGAAGTCCCCACATAACTTTTCTAGCTATCGCTGTGATATACGTCAAATCCCCATTCTAATCCTAAGCCCTAAGCCGGCCTAAGCCCTAAACCCCAAATCAACAAGGATATCACAAGTTGCTTTGGCTTGCAGACTGCTCGGGCGGATCTCGAACTTCAACGCGCTGTCAGACGTGAGGACAGTTCTGGCACAAGGTACTGGGTTTAGGGTTTAGGGCTGAAGCAGCTGGGCCCAGAGTTGCGGGATGCCGTCTTTGGCGAAGGCACAGGTATGCCAGCGATGGAAGGCGGGACCCTTAATAAGGACCCCTGGGTATATACTCATAATATAGCCATTATATACTCATTATATGGCTCATTATAGGGTAAGGGTCCTCATTAAGGGTCCCTCCTTTTCCCCTTTTGAGGTATGCCAGCGGTGGTGTCCAGGGTCAGAAGTCCTCTCGTTCTAAGCCCTGAACCCTGAAGTCCTAAGGATCTGAACCCTGCGCCGTCTAACATAGCGGCCTTAGTAATTTCCTATACTATATTTAGTACTTTCCTATACTATCTTTGGGTTCCTTTACTATAATTATATTATAGTAAAGTATATCCCAAAACCCCATCCTAGTTCTTACGGCTCCGACATTGCAAGAACTCGCTGAAGTTGGAGTCGTCGACCTCGGTTTGTCTTCCTGCAGAGGCTTGAGAACCATAAGAAGGCAGCACAGGAACCCCCTGAACCCTAAATCCTAAACCCTGAACCCGAAACTCTAAACCCTAAATCCTTAACCCTAAACCCTAAACCTTGAATCGTCATCCCCCCCTCCCACAAACCTCAGCCGGAAGCCGCCATCTCATCTGCGGCCAGGGACGATGGCAGTACCGACCTCAGCTAGGGACCCCCAAAAGCACATAAGGATACGCATTTTATAGGGGTATCCGTACTGGTACCTTATTGGGCTTCATTATAACAGGTTTATATGGGATATCCCTATCTTACTTTTTGCTTATGTGCCTTTTTCGGGGCCCTATCAGCAGCTCTCGGCAAAGTCGTCTTGTTGCATTTGGCCTTCGCGGAGCCAGGGCCCAAAACAAGTTCGGAGCTGGGGTCGGGGAGTGATTTAGGGTTTGATATAGGGGCCTTAATAGTCAGAAGAGGGTTTTGGGGCCCATTATACTATAATTACATTAAGGAACCCCAAAATAGTATAGGTACGGGAGGAGGTGCCGCAGAATACTACGGTTGATGATTTCAGTCTTGGGGTTCCTTTAAAGGGATCGATAAGGGTACCTTTAAGGGGCTCCTTTAAGGGATCTATAGGGTTTTAGGGTTTTAGGGTCTAGGGGTGGTGATATAAATCCTGCATTACCTTAAGGACCCTAAACTGTGGGAATTATGGTGTATTCCTTATTATGGGTAATGCAGGATTTATATCATCAACCGTAGTGATAGTAGCAATATAATCGTGTATAATTATAGTAGTGTATAGTAGTAGTACTTCCAAGAATGGTAATGATAGTAAAGGTATCCTAATCGCAGTTTTAGCGAATCCTTGGGGTCAGAAATGGCAACCGCGTGCTGAGCTCGTAATGGTCGGGGTTTATACTACAGCAAAGGCTCCCGGAAGAAGCTGTCAGCCGTAGCACTGTCTGCTCCCGTTGAGAGTTCTTGCCGGCGCTGAGACTGTGAAGACATGAGCGGCGTGGGCATGCTGACCCGGCAGCAGCAGGCTTTCAGCTCGGTTTCCGGGGTCTTTAGAGACTGGGGCACGCGTCTGCGAGTCTACGGTACCTCTAGTCGAGCGGCATGATGCCTGAACTGAAGAGGAAGCCCATACACAAGCAGAGCAGCGCTGGTCGCATGAAGCGGTGTCCCTCTTTCACTCCTCTTTTCCGGTCTATCTTTGAAAGGGTTTTTTGAGTTCTGCGTCTCCTAGAAATGTTGCGTCATGCCAGGAAGAGTTGGACATCACCAAGATCAAGGCTTGCGGAGCTTCCACCGATAGTGCCCTTATGTAGTAGACTTATATAGTACCCGTGTATAGCCCTGCCATTATCCCTGAAGCCATACCCTCCCGCCGTTTAACCCAGACCCTGCTCCTCAAAGAAAGCCCCGAAGACAATGTCCTCGAAGCAAATCTGGAAGCCTTACTACTGAGTCATGCTATTCCTGAAGGCTCCTCGATAGAGCTACACTACAATATCGCCCAGAACCCCCCAGAGGCACCCAAAACCCGGAGCCTCCCTGACCCCGAAGACCCCCCCCCAGATCGAATGATGTATTCGCCAGTAACCTATTTGGCAAGACTGGTGCCCTAAACCCTAAACCTCCAAACCTCCAAACCCTCAAACTTTTAAACCCCTAAACCCCTAAACCCTAGACCCCAAACCCTCAAACTTTTTAAACCCCTAACCCCCTAAACCCTAAACCCCTAAACCCTCAACCCTAAACCGTAGCCATTTTGGCTCAAGCCAAGCCATTTGGCTCAAGGCCCGGAGGTAGTCTGCAGGCGCTTGTGTGCGGGGTGAAGGGGTGCCTCGTGCTTCTTGCTGGTCCTGTTCCGCGGCGCGATTCGGGATAAGGGGTCGGTGATCTGGCGGCCAGTTCCTCGCTGGTGCGGTCGGGATTCTCCGGGAGGGCATCGAGGGCGGGAAGGCCTTTGCAGTCCAAATGCATGCGCCAATCAAGATCGGGCTGCCGGGGCAGATGCCCTCCATCGATGATGGCATGGATGCGGACCTTGACAACGATCACAACCACAAGGACAGCCCGAGCAAACGCAGTCGAGGGCCTGGGCAGGCGCCGGCGGGGTCTGCCTCGGATGAGGTGCCCCTCACTATGTCGTCGCTGCGGACCCTGCTGGGCGAACAATGCAACACTCTGCTGCATGCTCAGAAGGACCAACTTCACGCGGCGCTCGGCGACCTGGAGAAGAGGACCATGCACCACATGCAGGTGATCGAAGCCAAGGTTGATAGTCAGCAGGACCAACACCAGAAGCTGTCCCAGCAAGTGCAAGCTATGGCTGAGAGGGTGCAGCTACTGGAGAATCGTGAGGGTTCGCTACCGGGCCGAGGCGTCGACCGCAAGGCCACCCTGATCTTTGGAGGCTGGCAGCAGCAAACTCGTCGTGCGACCATCTTGGACCAGCTCGACAGGGCGCTACAGGCGCTTGGCGTGACGGAGTTTCTTGACCACCAACCATTCACCACAGGACCGCGGAGATCGGTGGCCATGGCTAATTTCTCCCTCCGACCAGCGGAGCGTGAGGGCGATCCACGACAGCGTATGATGAAGGTTCTTCAAGCCGTGAACGCCGGGAAGGTTCAGCTCGAGGGGGCGGCCAAAACACTCTGGTGCAGTTTCTCGAGAACCCCCGCAGAGCGGGGACGTGCAGCTGTCACAGCGGTGGTGAAAAAGATCGTGATGAGGCACTGCCCCACTAGGCAGGATGACTTGGATCTGGACTACGCTGCCGGCTCCGCATGGGTACGCGATGACCAAGTTTCAGGGATGGGGCCACCTCCGGATGAGTGTCACCGTGCAAGGATCGTGGAGACGAAAGCGGGCTCTGGATGGATTGACATCTCGACCTTGGCAAAGTGGGTGGAAACCGATAAGGACGTGCTCAATGCCCTCGTCGACGAGCACAGGTTCTGAGACGACACTAGGGAGACCGCTGACTACCTTGAAACCTTCTCTTTGGACCCTACTCAACCTGCTACCCTTGCCTCCTCTGTGATGATTGATGATCCTCTCTCTGCCAGCAAGAGCACATGTGAGGGCTATTCAGTCTTCGGGTGGAATGTCGGAGGATCCGAACTCTGTCTTGTGCCTAAGGCAATCAGGGATGGCTCTGGCAGGCAAGTGGAAAAAAGCGACCTCGTTCTCCTGCAGGAACTTCCGAGGGATAAGGAAGGTTGGGACTACCAGCAACTTCAGGGACGACGTGTCATTGCCCACAGAGCTGCCGAGCAGTGGAGGGGTACAGGATTGTGGTTTGACGATCGGGTGTGGTGTGTGCTGCGTAAGGTCGCGTCACATCGAGGAACGTGGTTTAAGTTAAGGCACCTCGAGCACCAGTTGGAACTATGGGTAGGCACAGCGCATTTCCAGCCAGGGTGTACGCATGCCACCTTCGAGGAAGATGTGACGCAACACTTCGGATCCCTCCCACGCAGTGCTCATCGTGTTGTTTTCCAGGGGGATGTCAACACCGGGTTCTTGTGGCAGGTGGATGATGCAGGGGTGACCGCATACGCGAAAGAAGGGAAGGGCAACACCCTACACCAAATTGCCGTCCAACAGGGTATGCATTTTCTGCCTCCGCGCCGTGATCAGCTGGATGTGGCCACGAGCCGGCCGAGGCAGGAGAACAGGGAGGGCCAGTGCATTGATGTCTACTTGGGGAAGTTCGCATCCTGCAGAGGGGTTCGGGTTTGTGAGGACTCGTACATGTGCCTTGGCACAGACCATGAGCTTGTGATCGGTTCCTTCGCATTCCCGGGGAAGAAGATGCACCGTCGTCATGATAGCTGTCCCAGGGTTTTGACCAAGCCCATCGGCCAACTCGACCACATCGACCAGCAGGTCCTAGCCGGACTCGCCGTGTCTCACACCAAACCAAGCCAAGGACGTTCCTACAAGGACCCCGTGGAGGTCAAGCACGCTTTTCGAGAGGCCAAGCGCAGGGGGACTGCTGTTCTTTGGAAGGAGGCCCTCAAGCTACGTAGACAAGCCCGCCTAGTTTGGGAAAAGGACAGGCTTCGCCGGGCCAGCCAAGGCGATTGGGGTTCCTTCAAGGCCCTCAAACCCTGCAAACAAGCGGGGTGGGACGTGGCGTTCGCCGAGGTCCAAACTGGCGACCCTCATGCCTCCGTCCACCAGCACCTTGCCGATGTCTATGCTGGGCCTGCGCTCCAGCCTGAACCACCGTGGAAGGGAGAGATTAAGGCGTTTACGACTGAAGAGCTCAGGGTAGGGTTGAGTCAAATGAAACGAGGGAAGGCCGTCGGCCTCGACTCTACATCGACTGAGTTGCTCTATGGGGTCATGGAAGCTCCCGGTGGTGAAGGGCACCTCTTGGAGTACTATAACAGAATCCTTGCCACGCAGTCGATACCGCAGGTGTGGAATGACCCCTCGCTAATCGTCCTGCCTAAGACACATGCCCCGACTGTGCCCCGTGAACTCAGACCAATCGCTATGTCCAGTGCTGTGGGGAAACTCTTCAGCAGGCTCCTGCTCAACCGCGCCCTTCCCTCTATTAGACCATCTACGTACGCACAATGTGCCGGTGTTCATAGACAGACCTCCGATTACCTGTACACGGCCTTCCGGACCTTTGAACTCTGCCGCGAATGGGGGCATCCCCTTGCCATCTTAAAACTCGACTTAGAAAAAGCGTTTGATCGGCTTGATCGCGGTGCTCTATTGGAACAACTCGAAAGACGGATTGGCCAGGGGGCGGAACTCCAGTGTTGGAAGGGCCTACTGAGTACCACGAGGGGGCACCTCCAGACACCGTGGGGTGACAGTGTCGTCGAGATGAACAGGGGTATAAAGCAGGGCTCAGTCGAGTCGCCAGCCCTGTTTGGACATGTCACTGAGGTATGCCTGGCGCTGGCGGTGGACTCCGACATCTGGAAGGCGCACCCTAGGGTTCTTGAAGGGATGGACGCAGAGGAGATGCTCTTCGTAGACGATGGCCTTCTATGGTGCCGCTCTTGCAAGGGGATTGAAGACAGGGTTCAGGCTTTGGTCGTGGAGTTGAGCAAGTTCGGTTTGAAATTGAACCCCGCCAAATGCCAGCTGTATGTGAAGAACGTTGAGGACGGGTCGTCTGTCAGGGTTCAGGGGACCAGGGTTGAGGCGGCTGCCTACATGGAGGTTATGGGCATCAAGATGTACGTAGGCATCAGCATCTACGAGCTCGTGGCCCCCCTTGTTGCGAGGGCCAGGTCGAAATTCTGGGAGCTCAAACACATATTCAGGTGTCGATCAGGCATGAAGGCGAGAGTGAAGGTCATGGAAAGGGTTGTGGGGTCCACGGCACTCTGGTGTTTGGCGAGCTTCATGCCTGACGCGGCTGCTATGTCCCTCCTCAACTCCACCCAACTTCAGCTCATGGTGTGGCTGTTGAGATTTGCCAAACGAGCAGATGAACCCTGGGATGCCTACCGACAGAGAGCCTTCCGTGGGGCCAGAGCAGCCCTGCACAGTACAGGAGTGGAGCGCTGGTCCACAACGTGGTTGCGGAGATATTGGTCCTTCGCAGGCCACAGGGTCAGGGGGATGCTGGCTCCGAGTCCTGTTATCAGCTCCCTCTATGAAGACTTCAGAACAGGGCCATGGTGGGATAAGGAGAAGCGGAGAAAGAAGGGAGGGTTCAAGCACCATCAACATTATCCCCGACTGTCCAACATGGAGAAAGCGATGGACAAAGTAACGGGTGGGCCATGGCGAGAGAAGGCACACGATAGAAAACAGTGGAAGTTCCTTGAGAATCAATGGGTACGGCTTATGGATTTACCATGGGCCTCCGGCAGACAACACTCCATCAAAGATCGCGCAGCTTGAGTGAGAGGGGTAGAGACATGAGCTGTTTGTATAGGGTTGCTGTCAATTCGCTTCGCAGGCACTGTCATGTGAAGGTGACTCCGGCCGCCTGATGGCTCAGCCGCCTGTCGAACTTTTGACTAGCAGCTGCTGTGACCCGCCATGGTGGTCATGCTCATGACGATTTACATCCACGTTTTGGTACTCAGTGCTTGCCGTGATGGCAAGTTGGTATGGGAGCCCATAGGGACCAACCCAACCGGTACCGCCTTTGATGATTCGACAGGGTTGGGCCTCACCGCCTATGGTGACGACCCTTGTGCAGCACAAGCCTTGACGATTTCGACTACCTTGGAGAAACAGGGCAAGCACCTGCCCCAGTCCTTCGTGACGAGGCCTTCTCCGACTGCATGCACCGAATTCATCGACACCCGACCCGGTGCCACCACGACCACCCGCTGCCAAGCTGCAGAACGCGATTCCGCTGAAGAACGACCCGGTCGGCGGAAGGTCAACCCCGTCGCGTTCCACCACGGCACGACCATGCCAGTCACCTACTACCCGACCAGGACCTACCACGCCAACATTGCACGTGACGATGACTCCACCTCGCTGATTGGGATGCCCTCAAATGCCCTGCTGACGACGGCGGGAATCACCGGCCTCCTGGCTTTCGACTTGCCCTTCCCGCCCGACCAGGTGCCCGGCTGGTACGACATCCTCCTGGACAACGTGATGTTCCTGCAGGACCGTGGGGGCTCGATTCGGGATATTGGCGCCGCTTTCTGGGCTGAAGTCCGAAGCTACCGCGACCCCCGCTTCGAGGATGAAAACGAATTGCTGCTGAACGGGTTCTTCCACGCGCTCCATGCCAACAGGGGGATCGCTGCACAACCACAAGACCCCGCCACGGTCCGCATGGGCCCACCCAGTCAGGCGGAGTTGGCACATACTGTCAGTCATGCCATTCGGGTCATCAGAGATCGTTGGTTGTGGAAGGTGTGCCCGGAAGCAATGAAGAATCTGTACTCCGAGCAGCAGCTGGCCCAACACGGCATTGTACCTGCCGTGGCAACCCCAGCCAGGTACTGGGAGGAGGAAATCGAGCGACGACAGCTTAGCAGATCCCGATCCCCACAGCGTCGACATCGACAAAGTCAACAAGGGCCTGAAGGACCTGAAGAAGATGAGGTGGAGGGGCACTCACTGGTGCAGAAACGGAAGAGTGAGGCAACGACTGAGGTCACCGACACCCGCAGGCGCCGCCGTTCTGCACCATGGAAGGAGAAAGTCCTGCGAGACCTCAAGCTGATGGGGAGCGACAGAGCCAGGGCCAGAGCCCACCGACAGCTTCTTGGTTATTTGGCAGGGCACCATGGCCCGCAGGTGGCTGACTTTGCTGAGGCCATCGTCAACACACTCTGGGATCGCCTTGACCAATGTGACTTGCCCCAGCAAACCCCTGATCTGCCTGACCTGCACACGTGGACTGCTGACACGGCCAGTGCACTGGTGGCTCTATGGGACCAGCAGCAGAACAGAGAGGCCGCCCAAGGGGCGACATCGACTCAAGGGGTTGTCCCGACGACTGTGGAAACCAGAGGATCGGGAGTGGCGGGCGAGGCAGGGATCACCCTCGACCCACCGTCGGAGCTCCCCTTCGGAATCTTCCATGCGGCCTACGTCTGGCCTGACGGGACCTGGAACACACGAGGTGAACTGCTGCGAATGGGACGAGGAGACCTTGTACATGCCAACGGCGAGCACACAGAGCCAGACGGGCACGAGGGTGACGGAGATGATGCCTCCCTGATGCAAGGCGAATCGAGAGCCCGGCCAACTTGGACCATGCTTATGGAGACCCTTCAAGTCTGGATTGAGCATGGGATGGATGAGACGGCCCTGCTGGATATGGTGGTCGGCCTGGAAACAAGGAGAGAAAATGAGGAGTACATGGAGTGGGTCAAGGGGCCGCTGAACACTGTCAGGCTGACCTGCGAAGATACCCGGCGCGGGACTGCAGACCAAACACTCCTGGACCCTCTCTCCTGGCAGTGGGTCTTGGATGTGGAATCGTCCTTGTGGCGATCCTTTGGAAACCGCGGGCGAGATCCACGTGAAGGCCGCGAACCAGGTGGTGGAGGTGACGATGACAGGGTTCACCTCATGGAGCGCGGACGGAAAGGGGATGGCAGCTACCGCAGGAGACGGACACATAGAGAGGCTCGTACACCGAGGGGCGAACGCTACCGCCGGAGGGAGGTTGTCACGGAGTCGGTCAGGAGTTTGCTACCCCGGGACGACCGACATTCCCGGCGTGACGCGGGACTTTGTGCAGGTGAACCACGAACCAAGACAAGCGCGCGGGCCGCAGGGGCATCTCACGGCAACCATACGGCAGGAGACTCGCCTCGACCAGTACCTACTCAGGCCACATCCACTCACTCTGGGGCGGGGAGTTCGACGGACCGGCCAAGACGGCCTCCCAGCCTGCACGCCCAGCTGAACCGTGAACAAGCATGTGACCTATGGCGCTACCTACTGGGACTGGACAGGCACTCATGGCCGAATGGTCTTGCTGTGGTTGGATCGGGCCACGCCTTCGTTCCCCAGCAGACCCAGGACCGGATCATGGACGCCTTTCGTACGATGAGCGAGCCTAACCGGCTACTGCTGACGGTGACCTTTGTAGAAATGCTCAGGTACCTTATGGCGGAGGTGAGCAACCTGATGTACCAAGGTTCTCTGCTTGGACGTGTGGCATCGGGGGAGGTCGTAGAGGTGACGCTCGACCCTTCGGAGGAGGAACCTGACGCTGAACACGATGAAGCAGGCCTGATGCAGCGCTTCATGGTTGGTGGAGGGAGGGGCGATGACGACCGCTGGGCTCGCGATCTGGCCAGAATGCAACGTGAGATGGGAGGCCAGGCCAAATCCAGGAGAAATGCGAACATCAGAAGGGTTCGCCGGGCCCTGCCGGCGTGTGAGCCGTGGAGCGACGCGGAGGGGCGTCGCGAGATGTTGAGAGCACTGCTGATAGCTATGTACGAGGAGGACGCTGGCGAGGGGGTCGCGGACGAGTTGTGGCTGGCCGGATGGGCGAACGAGTTGGAGCACTTCTTACCAGGGTGTGCCTTCAACCTCGAAGTCGTGCCAATGGAGGCGCCAGTGGTCTTGGACAGTGACAGCTGTCCTCTGGAAGCAGTGCCAGCAGACCCGTGCCAGCCTGATGTCGATGATCCTGAGCTCGTGGCGGCCAGATTCGAGGAGGCAGCCTTCAGACAGCAAGAGACGAACCTCCTCCAGCAGCAGGCGGCAGAGTTCCAGAAATGGGAAAGAGATTTGGTCCGAAACGAGATGGATAAAACAAAGCCTCAGAAGAGACAGAGAACATGCTGCATGGTCGATGTCGAGGCTGCGTCGAGCAGTGGCGATAAGCCACGCATTGGCCACCGCTTCAGCCTCATGGTACCTGATGATGGGCAGGCCGTGACACTCACGGTCCGGGCTCAGATGGTACCTGCGCCGGAAGAAGTGAGCACCGACGAGATGCCCAGCCCCGCCGGAGTACCGTCCAGTGCTAAGGCGGAATGCTCTACGGCACCCCGGGCTATGGAAGCCATGGAGTTTGCGGACTTTCAGGCGATATACCAACAGTGGCACACCGGCGAGCTCACGCTGGACCAAATCCAGGAACAGCACGGATCGGAGGTGGCAGAACTCATAGCCACACATGACATGGTGGCGGCCATGAACGAGGACACCGAGGCGATGCTCCGTGCAGGTCGAGTGGACGAGGGACCTACCAGGGATGGAGCGCTGCGAGGACAACCTGAGGGTGTGGGGATTGAAAGCCATGGGAACTCGGAGGCGACAACGTTGCCGCTTCCCCCGCCTTTGGACAAGCCCCAAAACGAGGATGACCGCACGCAGATGGAACAAAGCAGCGATGACGACCGTGAATACAGTCCAGAGGAAGGGGCATGACGAGCTGGCAACAAGCAGGGTGTCGAGTGAGCACTAAGGGTCGAGTCCCCGCCTTCCGCAACGCGGATTCCGCCGACCTTAACTGCAAGGAGGAAAAAGGCGTTCAAAAAAAAAAAAAAACCTCAAGAAAAGCAGGTGAATATGGATAACGAGAAGTATCTTCTCGCGCGGACCTCGGCCGAGAACCTCGTATCCCGAAGCTTCCGGTTTAGGGTTTAGGGATGTCCCGTTCTGTTGGCCCTGTAGCCGAGACGGGTATGGTAAGGGTTGCCAGGAATCGGAACTATATGGGAGTTTCCGAGAATTTGGGGTACCTTATTTTGGGGGCCCTTATAATAACGATCCTACAACTTAGGGTACTGTATTAGGGTCCCCTCTTTTCGGAAACTCCCATATAAGTGCATTATAAATACGGCTACAAAGGATCCGGGCTCAGATTGCCGTTAGAGGCTCGTTTGGAGCTGTGGCGTGGAGTGCTGAAGGCTGCGCCCATAACGGCTTCTAAGGCTATGATAAGGGCACCATAAAGGTACTATATAAGGGTATATCAGGGCACTATACTAAGGTGCTACAAAGATCCGCGTGTGCAACAAGATAAGAAGCTTTGGGTGTTCTGCATCCTTGGGGAGGGGCGGGGAGGTTCACCTCCTCCATCTCATACAGGGGTTCGAGCGATTGCAAGTAGCCGGAATGTTCCTTGATTTTCCCTGTACTAGTTAGTACAGCATAAAATGTCCCTATTCCAGTTTCATTAATAGTAGAGGCTTCTATATTACCTGCCTTGCAGACCGTGAATACAGACGATGCAGGTCAACAGTGCACAGTAGCATGCTTATTGGTAGGATCATTCCTCTCCCGCCCTGCCAGACAACAACATGATCTGCCAAACCATACGGTCAGTCCAAAATTAAAACCATTGGGAGAGGAACCGAACTGAGATTACGTGAATCTGAAGTCAACCCTAAAGACCTGCACCCAAAAGGCCTGAGTTCTAGACACTCAGCGCTAAAGCCTCAACCTTGAACTCCAATCCCCAGGCACCAAACCCTGAACGTTGAAAGGCCCGAAATCTTAACCTCAAACCTTTGATCCCAAGCCCTCAGCGCTGAAACCTTCCTGAGGCACATCCGGAGATCCGCGACATGATCTCCGTGTTCGTCCACCAGGCACACGAGCTGATAAGAGGGTCTTCTGTCTCTGTCACTTTATTCTGGTTGTGCGGCATTCAGCATGATATGTGTGTGTGTGTATATATATATATATATATATATATATATATACAGGATGGATGGATGGATGGGTGGGTGGATGGGTGGATGGATGGATGGGTGGATGGATGGGTGGGTGATGAATGGGTGATGGACGGATGGATGGATGGACGGACGGACGAACGGAGGGATGGATGGATGGATGGATGGATTTTTGAAATGCATGGATACATGGATGCATGTATGTATCAATGTCTGTATCTCCACACATCTACAAATACATATGCACATATATATATATATATATATATATATATATGCATATGTATATATATATATATACATATATATATATATATATATATATATATATATACAGATAAAGAGAGCAGCTCTTGATTATTATGTGTGTGCACACGTGTGTTTAGACTAGATAAATATGGTAAGAGCGTATGTATACTGTATACATTATTTTACGTAAAGGGTGCGAGAGAGAAACAAGGGAGAGAGAGAGAGAGAGAGAGAGAGAGAGAGAGAGAGCGGGTTTGCGTGTCCACGCAGGCATTTTTGGTAAGTCGGGTTGTGAACTGGTTTCAAGACGTAGGCCATGTTGTAGACTTGCAGCCGTCAGCTGCGGTTGAGCGCTGGCCTCTGGCTTTGCGGACGTTGGGTGCTGAGGTTGGGGCCATTTCTGGGCCTAGGAGCTAGGAGCGGTACAGCTCCTCGCAATGCGGATGCCGTGGCTTCGGGTCTTGAGCCTGACAGTATTCAACCGTGTCACGAGGCGTTCTGTCAGATACCTTAAACCACGAACCCGAAGGCCTAAGCCCCACACCCTAAGCCAAAATCAACTTGACCCTGCAGGTACTGGAGTACAAGCCGGACAACATACTGAGGTTTGCGGGCGACTTCTTCACGAGGCCGGACTCGAGCCACGGCGGGGTATGTCACGTGTGGTAGTTTTTCGTTGAAAAGTTGGCGGCGAGGTTTTAGTTTGGGGTTTGGCGTTCCCTGGCCTGTGCTGTATGATGGACCCGGAGCCTTCGCCCCAGGGACGACTTGTACGCCTGCGTCAAGAAGAAAACGGAAGAAGCCAGATTCTCAGTTGAAGCGAGCAGAGCCCAGAGCTGCGGCACAGAACGCTGCTGGACGCATTCAGCCTTCTCATGGGCATGGTTGGCTGTAGGTGTCGCGTGGTTGAGATGACACCCCTCATAGTTGCCTGCTAGCACCATTTCTGCATCTGTCCCGATCTACGCTATATGCGATAAGTCGATGCGAGAACTTTTCGAGGGCTGGGGTTAGAGACCCCAAAAGCACATAAGCATGAGCATTTTATAGGGATATCCTTACCTTATTGGGCTTCATTATAAGGGGTTTACATGGGATATCCCTATCCTAATTTTTCTTATGTGCTTTTTTGGGTCCCTATAGGTTGAAACTTGTTCGAGATTCAGCTTAAGCCTAGAGGTTGTTCAGGACACGGCTTGGTGTGGAGGGAGACTTGAAGTACTTTGAAGTTGAAGATAGATTTTTGCATCCTATGGGCTTTTTATCGTACCAAAGACATATCTGGGACAGAAGCAGAGACAGTTTCACTTACGTGCACGGCTAGTTCGAAATACAGAAATCGCCGCGACCGAATTGTTGATCGTCTCACCGAGGAAAAGGATGCATTAACTCTCTAATTTTTCATGAGCCATCCATGTATCATATTCCATCTACAGGCCGGACTATGCAACTTCAATCTTCCAACTATTCAATCATAATCGAGAGAAGGAGTAACAGACTTTGCATTTTTAACGTTTTCCATGCTTAAGTGGCAATATCGACTTGATGATCTTGAGAAGATATAAAAAACGACTAAAATATGTGGTCACGCTCTCCGCCCCCTCTTGGCCCACCCCCTCCATTGGCCTAAATTTTT